ATTTCGTTACCCCCACCGACGCAGCCCCAAACAGTTTCTTTAGAAACTATCAGCCTTTATTCTCCATACTGTTCTCAATACATTTCCCAAGGTGCTAACAAGGAGAATTTGTTTAACAGTCGAGAGCTTCTTAAGCTGGTAATCATTTCCTTTATTCTTGTAACCTTAATGTTTGGTGCAAGGGTGATATTCCGTTTCAATTCCATTCATAGAAGATTTTCACGTTATCATCCAAGCTCTGATCTCGTTAGTTTACGCGTATGCGGATCTGCATCTCAAGGTCTAGCAAAATTCCTCAAGCTTAATTTTATTTCAGCTTTGATTCATGTCGTTCCCTTGTATTAAGAAATGCTGAATCAAAAGGACCAGTATTAATAAGGAATATTAAGCAAATTGTTTTATGCTTATCTTGTTTTCATCACTCAACTTATTTTTCTACTTTCACAGCTTCGCTTCTCCCAACCCACAACAATGGCAAAAAACATGAAAGGATGCTGAAGTTAAAAGAAGAGAGAGAACGTTCTTGTAGGAAAAGCATTTATGTGCGAGGTTTTCAAAACTCAGGATCCATAGAAGAAGATATAGCAAAATACTTCAGTGCATATGGAAAAGTCTCAAACATATTTTTGGATAAAGATAAGGTATTTTAAATAATTATGATAAACTCGTCGATGAAGGCATTAAGAGCAAATGTGGCCAAAAATATCTAAATTAAACGAGGCTTACTTGTAAGGTGAAGTTTGATTGGGATTCTGTGAGTCATTGGTCGGGAGCAAAGGAGTCATGTGAGAAGGCGGACGAGCCTGGGAAGATCAGTCTTTAACAGATTTGAGCACTTACACCCAATCATGGGTGGATTAATAACACATGGGTGGGCTCATGACTCCTTGGCGCCCGACCAATGACTCACAGAATCCGAATCAAACTTCACCATACAGGTAAGCCTCGTTTAATTTAGGTATTCTGTTTTGTCATTGGTCATTGGTCGCTACGGAGTCACGTGAAATTTTAAAGCAGTGTGAGTGCAAACTCAAAAGATAACAATGATTTACAGCAATATAAACCTGCTTTAATAACATTCTCTATTAACCATCAAAACATAAAATTATAAGACACTATCTTAGGTGTCACTACATACAGCTTTAAGGAGCTCAGTTCTGAAATTCTCTTCAGGTTCCACTGGTTTGTTGTAAAACTTAGTAATTGTAGACTTCTGGGACCACCCCTCACTTTTCATAATTGTGGCGATAGATATGCTGTTTGCTTTTGCTGCAGATGTAGATGCTAATCAAGTACTGTGTGCTCTGTACTTCGAAGTGTCAATTCTAGCATCAACCAGTGTAGCCTTAATCCATCTGCTTATTGTATCAGGGGAAACAGCTTTATAAGGCTTAGAGTAACTAATAAGAAGCTGCTTTACATTACACTGTACCTTGAAGAGTATCTGTATGCTTCAGATATTGCTGAAGATGCTTTACAATACAAAGACTRACATCTGGTGCATAGGCCTGAAACTCAATACAAGCTAAATGTTTACCCGGTCTGGCAGTTTTTAACAATGAATTAATGGAAACACACATTTTTCAAAACTTATTTGCATATAATCAATTGATAATGTGTGCAAAGTCTGGCGACACTGTCCTGAAAGCAATATGCGATCAACATATAACCACTTTCAAAGTCAAGTTCTTAAAACTAAGTCTCACAGGTGGCCCAAGTTTAGCTAGATAGTCTAATGCCACTGTGACATCCCAAGTTTCTTGGTACCTTGGGAGAGAGGGTCTACACTCAAAAATTCCTTTGAGGAAATGACAGACTAGGGGATGCTGTCCAAAAGTGTAATGCTCTGATGTAAAACAAACAGTAGACAAAGCACATCATGCAGTCTTGAGGGCATTGTATCCAATCCCTGTGTGGTAAAGTTCTGCCAAGAAATTAATCCCACGTTCAATAGTTGCTAAAAAGGGATTAATCTTCCTTTGACAACAGTATTGTTCCCATTTAGTGATGAATGGTTTATATTGTTGTTGGGTGCCCTTTCTCCAAGACTGCAGGATGAGTGAGGTAGCTGATTCCGAAAGCCCTCTGCCTTCAAGTGATTTCCTGACAAGTGGCAAATCAGAAGTGTGAACTTCTGATGTAGTGGATGCACCAAGTCTGGCTGTTGAGGTAGAAATAAGGTGTGTTTCTTTTTGGGGAGCACAAAGGGTTCCTGAACCAGCAGTCTCATCACCAATGGCCACCATGGCTGAGTTGGCCAGCACTGCACAACTAACAGTCCTGTGGTCTCCTCTGCTTGAATTTTCTGTAACACTTTTGGGATGATACTAAAAGGAGGAAAGGCGTAAAAAACATAAGGTTTCCAAGAAATTGAAAAAGCATTTAATAGCCATTGCTTTAGGGTCTGGTTGGTAGGCAACAAATGGCCTTAGCTGGCAATTAAGGCTAGATGCAAATAGGTCAATCTGAGGCTCAACATGAAGTTTCTTAACAGCTGGGTGAAAAATTTTACTGTCTAAAGTCCATTCAGTTTCTTTTCTAGATTTCGGGGACTCTGCATCAGCTAGAGTATTCTCTTTCCCTGGGATATGACTTTAATTGTGGTTAACCACATGTTATTGTCAAGGCACCACTCCCAGAGCGTACAGGTTAAATCATTTCTGAA